GATTATCCTGACCATATTTTAAAAATCCGGAAATTTTTTTTCCTTGAATATCCGGAAAAAATCCGGAAAACTTTTTAGTAATATCGGGAAAAAATCCGAAATTTACAAAGGATGTTAACAAGGATGGAAGATGTTAACAAGGGGGGCGTGCTCTCCTCGATTTTTTTATATTACTATAATATTACGTCAGTTTAACCGTATCTATGAATAAAAAACTACATATTTTTTCATCAAAAAGAAATAGTAATAATAAAATTTTAACAATAAAAATAATAAGAAGCAAACGAAGTCACAGAAAAAGTAGAAAACTATATTTAAAAGCTGTTAAACAATGCGTTAACTTTTTTAGACATGCACTTATACATTTAAATACATAATGGATAATAAAGTATCGCTTCAATTCTCCAAAGATATACATATAGATAAACGCTTAAGGCGTTGTTATAGATCAGAGACGCCACCATAACTGAAATCCCATGGGCGTTATTTATTTTAGCGTTTTGAGTTTTTATGTAGTAATTTTACAAAATAAACCGACATTTATTTGACACTTTTGCTTGCCAACTTCTTTCATAAACATTTTATTACCTGTAAACCACCAATTTTTGGAAAATATAAATAAATTTTATTTTAACTATTTTCAGAGCATACTTCAATCGCAAGGAAATAATAATAATAAAACACCAGACTTCTTATATACAAATAATAAGAAATCTTTAGTAACAAATATGTTTAAAAAAAGGAAATAATTTAATAAAAAGTAAAAAGATATTGAATTATTTTTCTGTAACCAGTTAATTTTCTACAATCAATTCTTCCACTCAGTGCTTAAAATGTTTTAAACTTTATTTACGACTTCTTCTTTTATAAAAAAATCTACACGTTTCAAAATTAAAAAAAAAAAAAAAAAAAAAAAAAGAAACCCTCTAAAAAAGCTTAATCGTTCGTTAGATAAAGTTTGAGTAAAAGTTTTAAATTTATTTTAACTACGTCAAACAAAAGGTGAGGTATTATTAATGATTCACGTGCTTATTCATGTGATTCAAAATTCAAAAGATTTAAATAAGTGATTTTTTTTTAATTGAAAGAAAATATAATTAATTTTGACAAGCGCTTTTTGAATTGAAAAGAAAACGAGCCTCAAAATGCGATGTTTTTAAAAACCTAATAATAACACTTCAAAGCAATTTGATTTACTTGACGTTTAGTCAATGTTGTGTTCATAATATATTCTCCTTAAAGACCGGCACCGATATATAAGATTGGGCCGTATATCTACATGTATAATAATATGACACATGTCCCTAATAAACAAACTATATATATAAATGTCAAGAAATCAAGTTAATTCATAAATCTTCATAATCGATTGGTACTTTATTCTTTATTCTTCGTCCTCGACTTAATAATCGAACTCTTTGATCTTTTGTATTTTTAACTAAATTGTTCTTTTCTATTATATTATTCTCGCTCTCCATCTCCGATGACGTTTACCACTATTGCATTCTTCAGCGACGGAATAGCTTGTCATCTGAGCATTATAGCCCCATTATCCCGAGTCACCCCTTGAGCCGATATAGTGTAAACTTTTCTAAGTTGAATCTGATTTCGGCAAAGGATATGTCCATTGTGATTTAATTTTACTTCATATGATCTAGGGGCAACACATTTCATTATTTTACCTCTAAGACTCCATTCACGAGTTACTTCGTTTTGAATTGCAACAGTTTGACCTTGTCTATAGACGTATGGTTTAAAAGCACCAATATTTTTATCATAGTATTTTTTAGATTGAACTCTCTCTTTGACTATTTCTCTTGAATATTTCGACTGATCCTTATTTTGAGATTGAAACCTGAGTAAATTATCTCTCAGTTGAAGTTCATGTAATAGTTCCGCTGGAGATAAACCATATTTTATTGGAGTATTACATAAAAGTAAGATACCTTTATAAATGTCCTCATTCGACATATAACATTTCTTTATCAACAGTTTTACTGACTTTATAGTTGCTTCTGCTAAACCATTTGATTTTGCATAGTGTGGACTACTTGTTATGTGCTTAAATTGCCACTGTTGAGAGAATTGACGAAACACTTTCGAACTATATTGTGTACCATTATCTGACACTAATTCCTCAGGGATACCATTTCTAGAAAAAGATTCTTTGCAAGCTTTTATAACATTTGCTGATCCAGTATTTGGAAGCAGAAACACCTCAGTCCACAAGCTATAATAAGCGACAATAATTAAATCGTTTTTATTAGCCGACTGAAACAAATCAGTTCCCAGTTTTTGCAATGGCTATGTTGGGACATCAGGAGTTAGCAAAGACTCTTTTGGCTTTGATTGGAGATACTTCATACATGCCTCGCACTTTCTAATTAACTGTTCAATTTGGTTGTTTAAACCTGGCCAAAAAACACTCTGACGTGCACGACGTTTGCATTTCTCCATTCCCAAATGACCTTCGAGCAATTTTGAAAGAATTTTTCTCCGCATACTAACTGGGATTATTATTCTATTCTGATATAATAAGAGTCCATCAATTTTAACTATTTCATCTTTAAAATCCCAATAAGGTTGGATATTTGCCGGACAGTATTTTTTTGAATTTGGCCATCCAGAAATTATACTTTCTTGCAATTGGTTTAAAAGTTTCTCTTCCGCAGTTTTTTGCTTAATCTCTTCTAAACGACTCTCTGTAGCAGGCATACTTTTTATTATAGAATTAACATATACATTCAGATCATTTTCTGCAATCTCATCTTTTTTTGTAGGATTAGATACAGGTGCACGAGACATTGCATCTGCATCAGTAATAGACTTGCCAGCAACAAGCTCTGCAGTAAATGAAAATCTTAATAACTTCATTCTTAAACGTTGAATTCTTGGAGACATATCAATAAGTGAAAGATAATTTAATATTGGAATTAATGTTTTGTGATCTGTTTCTAATATAAAATTTGGTAAACCATACAAATATTTAGACATTCGTGTGCACCCCCATGTTACTGCTAACATTTTCATTTCGATCGGATAATAATTTTTTTCAGTTGTCGTAAGAAACCTAGATGCACAATTAGTTGGTTTGTATATACCATTATGATTCTGGTAAACTATTACACTAAGTCCATTTAATAAACTTCCATCTGTTCTTACTTTTATAGGTTTTTTAACATCGTAGTGCGCCAAAATAGGTGAATTGGTTAAAATGTTTTTTACCTCATTGAATGCTCTTGTATGATTTTCAGTCCAAAACCATGCTGATTTAGAATTCAAAAGATCTCGCAAGGGTTCGGCTACTTTAGCAAGCGATGGATTGAATCTAGATAATTGCTGGGCCATGCCTAAAAAACTACGTAAAGACGTAATGTTTGTTGGCTTCGGAAAATTTTTTATTGCTTCAACTTTTTTGGTCTATGGTTTTACTCCATGTGCTGATATTTTATGACCTAAAAACTCCACTTCTGTTTGATTGAGTAAACATTTCTCTACATTAAGGGTAACTCCATTTTCAGCAAATCTATTTAGGAATGCTACAAAGTTTTCATTAAATTCCATTTCTGTATTTCCAAAAACTAAGAAATCATCTATACTTTTAACCACTCCTTTTAGACCATCAATAACTTGATCCATTTTTTTACTAATAATTTCAGCGAGCGATGTTAATCCAAATGGCCCCCTTGTTGGGCAGGACCGACCAAAAGGTGTCGTAAATTTACATTTTAACTGACTTTCAATATCCATTGGTTACTGCCAATATCCTGAGTTAGCGTCTAACTTTGCCATATATTTACATCTGTTTCCAAGTTGGGCCAATGTATCGTCTACACTTGGCAGTTCATAGATTTCACGTTTGGTGTGTTTGTTTAACTGTGTTAAATCAATACAAATATGAAGTAGTCCATTTGGTTTTTTCACAACTACTATTGGATGACACCAATCTGTAGGTTGATCTACTATTTTGATAACACCCATCTCTTTCATACGCTCTAGTTCTATCTTCAACGGTTCTAGTAGTGGGAGCGCTACATGTCGTAGTGCTCCAATGTGGTACGGTGTTGCATTTTCTTGAGTTGTAATACGTACAGGGTTACCTTTAATAGTCCCTAACCCCTTGAAAACTAGAGGAAACTGTTCTATAATGTTACCTTTTGATTTGAAAATCATAGCACACATAAATCTTTCAGGCTAAACTTTTGTAAGGCAGACATATATAGTAATTAATTCACTGTTCTGACCGTTTATAAAAAATGATTTTTGAAAATATCCAAGAAAATTGAGTGGCTTATAATGAGGACCTATTAATTGTTTATTAGTAGTGTATAAATGCTCAATTTTAATTCCAAACTTTTTTAAATGGTTAGTTCCTATAACTGTTACCTCAGCGCCTGTATCAATTTTAAATGTTATTTTTCCATATTTTACTTTTAATTGTATTTCCCAAGGTCTTTCAGCACAATCTGCTCCGACTCTTCCTAAAAACAATGCACCAAGATGCTGCATACTTGACAAATTGTTACTATCATTTTGTTGATCAACACATGTATCAGGAATATTTGGCTTTGTTTTTAGGTTAGCTGAACTATTTAATAATAACAATAATAATAATAATAATAATAATAATAATAATAATAATAATAATAATAATAATAATAGCAATAATAATAATAATAACGTATAACTGTAACAACTGTTTTAAAAAACAGTTGCAAAGTGCAATAACATAAGATATTGCACTGTAACAGCTCATTTTTTCTTTTGTTTGTGTTTTAACAAATAGTTTCTGCAAAATCCAGCTCTGTCTAGTTTGTTTTTGAAGTTATTTATTGAAGTAGCGTTTATTATTTCAGATGGTAAGCTGTTCCACGCATTTACAACTCGATTTTGGAAAAAATGATACCTGAAGGTATTTCTGCTAAAAGGCTTCCTCATTTTGAATTTGTGTTGTCGCAGACATGAACCCTCCTCCAATGCATTTCCACAATCGTTAGCAACCCAATTTATTTCATCGTGGCCATGCTGAATTTTATATCGTTGAATCAGATCTCCACGTAGTCCACGTTCTTCCAGTGACTTTAATTGTACAATATTTAACCTAGCCTCATTTGATAATTTCCTAATTGTAGGTGCTAGTTGGGTTGCTCTTTTTTGGATTTTCTCAATCTTGTCAATGTCTTGTTTTTAAAATGGAGACCATGCCTGGACCACAAACTCAAGATGTGGACGTATGAACGTTGTATTGAGCAAATATTTAAAGCCTCTCTTTATGGTACCTAACATTCTGTTTGCTTTGCTGGTTGCTGAATAAACTTGTGAGTGCCATTTTAAATCGGATTGAACCATTATACCTAAATCACATTCAGCTTTTTTGTTACTCAATGTATAATTGTAACTGCAATCAATATCAGTCATTATAAATGTAGCATTTGGATTTTTTTCCCAATATGCATAACTTTGCATTTTTCATAATTAAATTTTGTGAGCCAAATAGATGACCATGCCATTATACTATTTATATCATTTTGAAGGCTTATTGAATCATTAGGATTTTTTATAATATTTATTATTTTACTATCATCAGCGTAAAGTTTAATAAGGTTTTTGACTTGATCTGGCAAATCGTTAATAAAAACCAAAAACAGCAGTGGTCCTAAAACTGACCCCTGTGATACACCACTAATAACTGGTAGCCAATCTGAGACAGTGTCGCCAAGGACCACTCTCTGTTTTCTGTTAGTTAAAAAGTTCTCAACCCATCCCAGATAATTTCTCACAATACCATATGATTGAAATTTAGTGATCAAACGCGAGTGTGGTACTTTATCAAAAGCCTTTTCAAAGTCTAGATACAACATATCAACTGAGTGGCCATTTTCTAGTGCATCTGTTATGATATCAAGAGTTTCCAATAGGTTTGTTGTGCAGCTTTTATTTTTTCTGAACCCATGCTGATTTTCATTTAATAAGCTGTTATTTATTAGATAATCCATAATTTCATCTCTAATGAGTGATTCCAAAACTTTACATGGGATAGAAGTCAATGAGATTGGCCTGTAATTAGATGCAATGTTCGTATTACCTTTTTTTAAAATTGGTGTTATATTTTCTAATTTCCAGAGCTCAGGTAATTTTTTCTCAGTCAACGATTTTATATATATTAAATGAAATGGTTCACAGAGAGTACTATGACATTTATTTAAAACATATGGGCTTATCCCATCTACTCCGATAGCTTTGTAAACATCTAATTTTTAAAATTTTTTTTTAATAGTATGTCAAGTTATTTTATTATTTATATCTACTTCTAGAATAATTTCAGTCTTCTGCGGTATATTTGGTATGTTATGTTTATCTTCGTTAACACAAACTGAATTGAAACTATTGTTTAAAATATTTGCTAGAGATTCTCTATTTGTTACAATGTTATTATATTCATTAGACATTGAAGCTATTCCTCCTTTAACTTTTTTGTTAGAATTTACATAACTATAAAATAACTTTTTATTTCTTTTTGATGTTTTACTGATTTTTTTTTCATATTCAATACGTTTTAACCTCACCATGTTTTTAACTAATTTACTTTGTATTTTGTATTGCTGAACCAAAATGGGTGATTTGGATTTATTTGATATTAATTTGTTCTATAAGGTTGTTTTAGGTCTGATTTCAGTCTTAATTTGTTTGTCAATATATGGTTTTAAAGCTATGTGTTTATGCACTTTTTTAGGTATAGAACTGTCAGATAATTCTATATATTTATTTACAAAAATTTTGTAGCATTCATCAACGTTTTTATTAGTTATTATATTACTCTGAAAACCAAATGTTATCAATTGTACAGCATTACCATTCAAAATCTTTTACAGTAATTAATGCAAAAACATTATTTGATTACATAAAAAGCCTTTTTTTAAATGATGAAATACCAACTGATAATTTAATTTCGAATCTCTCTGACTCGACCAATTACATGCGCGGTAAAAAAACAGGTTTTGAGACCCTTTTAAGGCTACATGTCCCTCATCTTTTAGATATTGACGGAGACATGTGTCATCATAGGCATAACACTGTTAAAAGATTCTTGGCACCGTTTGAAAAGTATATTGAGTATTTCCGGACAGATGTTCACAATGACCTAAAATGGAGCCCTGACATTCGAAACTATTTAAGTGAAATATGTGGTTACTTAGGTGTAAACTATGGAATGGCACCTGACCATATTGATCACCGTTGGTTATCAACGTTCGATGCTATTGAGTGTAACATGGCACTTTTTCCTGCTCTTAGCGTTTTGTACTTTTTTTGGTTAAAGAAAGAGAAACAAACTATCTACATGGATGATTATGAAAAACTAACGGAGGTAAAAAGTTTTCTATAAGCAAAGAAAAACCGAGCTGCATGCTAACTTCTATATTGCAATCCTCCCGATTTTTAAGTCCTTTTTTTTAATATTTGAACAAAAAGAACCGAAGATTCACATTTTATACGATCAGTTAAAATCAGTGGTTAAATCTTTTTTAGGCTGCTTTATGAAGCTAGAACTAATTAAGGATGCATTGGGTAAAAAACTAACAACGCTTGACGTAACAGACTTCAAATTTCACAAAATTCAAAAAGATTGGTACATTGGCAAAAACACAAACACAGCTCTTCTCAAATTTAGGTTAGTAAATTTGTATTAACTAAAGCAAAACATTAATCAGGGTTATATATTATTAAATTCGAATTTTATATACACGACTTGTGATAATAAAAGCCTATTGTGATATTAAAAAATAATCAATAAACCTATGTTATTTTTGAAATATAATTTAACAAGAAAAGTAACGAAAATCTTTCAAATAATATAGGCTTGATGATCCTATCCGAACAGAGTTTGAGTCGCATGTTAAAAGAGCATTTCTCGATGGTGCAAAGTATATGCAAAAAAAGATTCCTTTATCGATCGAGTTATTAAAACTATTATCCTCTATTGATCCAACGTATGTTGGAAGTACAGTTGCGTGTCGAATGACGCAGAAGCTGAAAGAATTTTTTCCTAACATTATAAAAATTGACGAAGCAGACTTATTTGACAGGGAAGTTGTTGCGTTTCAAAAAAGACTTGATCAATGGTGGTCCGAGGTTTTTGTATTGAACCGATACAACTTACTTACCAAGGTTATTAAAGCTTGTTTGTCAATATTTACTGGACCTATGATAGAACAATCGTTCAGGTAACTTTTTTGAACTGAGAGCTTCACGTTGTAATTTAAAAGTTACTATTAAACACAAGTTATAATATTATTACTAATTTAATTAAATAATTATTATAACATAATTATATTATAGTAGTTCAGGTA